CAATTTCGGTTTATTGAAACGAAAATTCAAAGTTCCTAAAAATTCTTATATTACTTAACACGACTATTTTCTTCACTTATTACTATATACTATGGTCTTGCGCATAAACCATAGGAGACGAACACCACGATATTTATTACCTAAGCATACTTACAAAACGCAGCTGGTACAGCGGGTGCTTCCATTTTCTCGGTTGAAATGTTGATTGTAGTTGGGTGTTACGTAGTTGTACAGGATTCTTTCTCGGAGTTGCTGGAAGGTGATCAATCTCCCAACGGTGGTCCAGTGATGGATTTTCCTCCTTGATTGAATTTTAGAAGTTGAAAAATTTTCAAAAATTTTTCGAAAATTTCGAAAAAAATTTTTTTAATTGTTCTTCAAGTTCTTCTAAGTATCCTTTGAGACACCCTGTCCACATTTGTAACGTGCCAACTACTTCAACTCAATATTGATGGTATTTTTGAATGAAAATGACAAGTTGTTGGTATAATGATAGTTTATTTGTATTTATTTAACACGAAAATATTCTAAGTCCAATTAATTGAATTGTAAATTTATGGTAAAACGGGTTGTGACTTCGTATCGACTTGTGGCTGTCCTGCTATAGTGCTCGTCGTCTTGGCTGGTGTTCGTCTGATGGACACTTGTCCATCGACGTATTTCGTCGGTTTTCCTATTATATCCCTCCTATAGCATTTTTAGTATATAAAATGGTACATAGCTGCGTATACCTGACGTCATTTCGGGCGTCCTCTACGAAATAATGTTAATTGGGATTATATGTTTCAAAGTTATCTATTTTGTTGTTTACGGCTTTTTTGTGTTTCCCAGAATATGGATAATACGCGCGTTCTATACTCTTATCGATATGGCCGCCCGGACGTTTATATTATTACTATTATTGGGTTACGTGCCCTCTGCCGCATTTATATCTGTTATTGAAAATAATATATTATACTACAAGCGTATTACACTTAATACAGCATAATATAATATAATATTTTATATATTATTACTATTATAATATGTACGTAGTCACAGCCCGTTACACAACCTAGATGTTTTATTGATTTCATGCAGAATACGCATTGGCGTAAATAGTGTTTGAAATTTGGGGGGGCTGAAGCTCAGTCTATACTTGAAACTCTTATGATGCTTTTAAATTATAGTAGTGAAATCATTAGTTTTTGGGGGGCTATAGAAACTTCAAGGGGGGCTAAAGCCCCCTAGCCCCCCTCCTATTTGCGCCTATGAGAATACGTATAGGTTAAGTGTAAGGTTATACTCAAACTATTAATGATTATGCCTAATTATTACGGTATCAAAAACGTATCTTTACGAGCAAATAATATTCTGATAACATATTTTTCCAACTGAATAATTTTCAATGGATTATTTTTCCAACAAAATACGTTTCCAGAAAAATATTTTCCGACATTTTCCATACCAAGCTGAAAAATTTCCGTTCAAATACTATTCCGTTATTATCTTTTTCCCTTCAAATAATTTTCCAATGAAATCCGATTCAAAAAAAATATTTTCC